AACTTTTCTACCTTCCGGGAAGAATTTTCCACTGGAATATTGACGCATACAGACAGGTGTAATTCAATACTCTCTTAATAAACTGCCGCTCCCTCGCTCTCTGAAACACGACATTAGCGTGGAAAACCTGTTCTCCAAAAGAAATTTTAAAAACATTCTCGCAACCATGTGTTCTATGCAACATGCAACCATATCAAACAGACACTTCATACTGATCGCTTGGTTGTGTTTTGAAATGAAAATGGTTTTAACTGATGCAACACCAATTAGGGATGCCAAATGGGAATAGGTTTTTAAAAAAAAAATCTCTCTCTGTTTTTTTACCCTACACCACAAGGTGGTCAGGGTATTATGTCTTTGTGCATTTGTTTGTAACAGGCAAAAGGAAACGAGATAGACCCATAGTTCCTTTTGATGATCTGCATAGAATCACATTCTGAGTCGTTTTATGCATGTCCATCCGTCTGTCCGTCCGACTGTCCCTCCGTCCGTCTGTGCATGTATTTTTGTAAACAAAGTACAGTTCGCATTTATTGCCCTATCCAGATGAAATTTTGCACAAATCATTTGTTTGGCCCAAGGACGAACCCTATTGAAATTGGAGATAATCGGTTAAAATTTAGATATAGCTCCCAAATATATCTTCGTCCGATTTTCCTTTTATTGTGCACCAAACGTGTAATATCATTCCGAATAGTATGGAATTTTGCACATACAACCAAATTAGGCCTGAAAATAAGTATGCCAAATTTGATAGAAATCGGTTCAGATTTGGGTATATCTCCCATATATAACTTCGTCCGATTTACTTTTTATTGTGCACCAAACGTCTAATATTTTTCCAAGCGTGATGGATATTGGCACTAACGACCGAATTGAGTCTAGAAGCTAGTATGTCAAATTTGGTAAAGATCGGTTCGGATATATCTTTAGCTCCCATATATACTGTTCATCCGATTTGTTGTTTTTTGTCCTCCGCAGCCGCAATATGCTCTTTGTAACAACAATATTTGGGGAAATATATCAAATACAGCTCAGAAATATCTTTGCCAATTTTTATCGGAGATCGGTTCCGATTTGGATATATCACCCATATATAACTTCGTCCGATTTACCTTTTATTATGCACCAAACGTCTAATATTTTCCCGAATGGGATGATATTTGGCACTTACGACCGAATTGAGTCTAGAAGCTAGTATGTCAAATTTGGTGACGATTGGTGAAGATCGGTTCAGATATAGATATAGCTCCCATATATATTGCTCATCCGATTTGTTATTTTTGTCCTCCGCACTCCGTAACAACGATATTCAGGGAAATATATTTAATATAGCTCAGAAATATCTGTGCCAAATTTTCTCGAGATCGGTTTAGATTTGGATATAGCTCCCATATATAACTTCGTCCGATTTACCTTGTATTGTGCACTAAACGTCTAATATTAGTCCAAGTGGAATGGAATTCGGCACTTACGACCGAATTGGGTCTAGAAGCTAGTATGTTAAATTTGGTGAAGATCGGTTCAGATATAGCTATAGCTCCCATATATATTGTTCATCCGATTTGTTATATTTTTGTTACCCACAGCCGTAATATGCACTCCGTAACAACGGTATTCTGGGAAATATATCAAATACAGCTCAGAATTTATTTGCCAAATTTTATCGAGATCGGTTCAGATTTGGGTATTTCTCCACATATATAACTTCGTCCGATTTACCTTTTATTGTGCACCAAACGTCTAATATTTTACCAAATGGGATGGAATTTGGCACATACGACCGAATTGAGTGTAAAAGCTAGTATGTCAAATTTGGTGAAGATCCGTTTAGATATAGCTATAGCTCCCATATATATTGTTCATCCGATTTGTTATATTTTTGTTACCCACAGCCGTAATATGCACTCCGCAACAACGATATTCAGGGAAATATATTGAATACAGCTCAGAAATACATTTGCAAAATTTTATCGAGATCGGTTCCGATTTGGATATAGCTCCCATATATATATATATATATATATATATATATATATATATATATATATATATATATATATATATATATATATATATATATATATATATATATATATATATATATATATATATATATATATATATATATATATATATATATATATATATATATATATATATATATATATATCCTATTTCAAACTAATTGTGCACCAAATTTGGCTCTACAAGTCCGAATTTAAAAGATACAAATGCTTCGTCCTTTGAACTTAAAATTATAATTATAATCATAGCGTGCATGATTGAATTCTCCCATAAGACCTATTAATTGTTATGCGGAGCTCTACTAAATTTATTAAATGGTGTAGGGTATCATAAAGTCGGCCACGCCCGACTTTAAGACTTTCTTTACTGGTTTTAATATTTGATAAATTCCATTTTTTTAATATTTGATAAATTCCATTTTTCAATAATTCCAATTCCGGACATTGGGCCAATTTGACCCCCAACAATTTCCCCCACACCATATTCAAAAGACTTGGCAACCCTTTTTATGTTGTTTGAGGTAACGTAAAAGGGTTGTATTGTGTTTGATACGAACCCATGTGGATGATCAGCCAACCCAAACAATCCCAGCATCAAACCAATGCGAGAGAGAGCATTGAGCGACTAAGAGAGAGAGACACACAGCAGCTTTATTTTGAAATTCAAAAACAAGAAAACTCACAATTCTGTTGTTGTTTTCGTGATTTTCGACTTTCTGAATTGAACGAACGAACAATTGAATTTGGAATTTTGTTTAAATAACTTTGTAACTATGGCTTAAGAAACTATTTGCTCAGCAGTGGTTGTGCATTGGACTTGTCGCATTGTTGTCGTCGTCGTGTCGTGTTGGGAAAACGTTTCGGTTTTAGTTAAAGCTACTAAAAAAAAGCATAATTTTTGAAAAAGAAAAAATAATAATAATCTTAAATAAATACCAAGCAGCCAAGATAAGCGTTACGAATTTGTGTGTGGCTGTTTGAAAAAAAGCGTCTCGTGTGATTGGGGCAGATGGAAATTGAAAATAAAAATAAAATTGAATGAAAATATGAGAATAATGATTTTGAAAACGAAAGTTGTTGCCCAATAATCAACTAGAAATTGTTTAAAAAAATTATTAATAATTTATAAAAATATTGAAAAATATTGAAAAATATTTTGAAAAATAATGTGTGAGAATTAATTGAATTTTTTAAATTTTTTTTTTTTTAAAAAATGTGCATATTTTGATAAAAAAAATATAGAAAATATTTAATTTCCAATATTGAATATTGAAGAAAAAATATATATTCCCGAATTTTCTCTCCAAAAATTTCAATAAAAAAATATATAGAAAGTATTTAATTTCCAATATTGAATATTTAAAAAAAATAAATATTCCCGAATTTTCGCTCCAAAAAAAAAAAAATAAATAAATAAATAAAAAAAAACAAACAAAAAAAAATTTTTTTTCTAATAAAAAAATTTAATTTTTTTCGAATAAAAAAATTTAATTTTTTTTCTTAAAATAATAAATAGTTTTGAAACCTTTTGCAAAATCTCCTGTCTGTGCGTGTTTTTTTGTTTGTATTGGAAAGATAAAATTACATAATTTTTTTCCGAACATATTGAGTGTTGCCTCAAAGAATTGTTGGCCATTTTTCTTCTTGCAAAAGTTCAACAACGAAACCAGAGAGAGATAGAGAGGAGAAAAAATTGAAACGAATGGCCAAAACAAAACAGAAAAAATAACATTTTGTTTGTGGCAACAGCAGAAGAAGCAGCAGCGGCAAGTGTAACAACCAGCCAGCCCGTGTCTGTGGGGCAAACCTACTTTTCGATCGTTGCCTCCAAACCAAAGCAAAAACAAAAAAACCTGCCTCAACCATCCAAGCAACCACCCCGCAAACCACCATCTCTCGTTGGAAATAAAAATAAACAAACGCTAAACGTTTGTACACGTTCTTGGGGCTTTGGTTGGCCACTCCTGGGCTTTTCATTTTCGGTGCGCATGCGCAAAGTGTTGGTGGTCATCGTCGCTTAATTGCCCAGCATATTGACGAAGCCTGAGGCCATTGCAGCCGAGCAAATAACACACACACGCATATTGTGCAACCTTCTCGCCATCAATACCATTAAAAGGTGGTCGGACCCCACTCTCTCCACCCCTCCTCCTCAACATTAAGCTATTATTGGCAAAAATCGCCCCCTCTCCCCCCACAAAAAAAAAAAATTGCGGTTGCAAGCAGCCATCATCTCTTAAGTGGTTTTACCACCAGCTGTAGCCAGCCGATCCAACCATCGATCGTACGAGGCAAATATTATTGCACAATCTCTTGTGGCTTTTGAGGTTTTTTTTTTTTTTGGGCAAATACTCACACACTTACGCAGACAGATCGGACCATTCATTGGATTTGTTTGACAGGCCGTCAGTTATATGCCTCAATAGGTGGCAATAAGGCCGTTCGAATCCATTGCTCTTTATTGATCACCACTGGCTGAGTGGTTCCATTAGAGCTAACCAAATTGAGAATAATTTTCGGTTTTTGGCAATATGCCTACACCGAGGAGTAACGGCTAAAACGCAGAGGTCCAAAGAAGCAGAGAAAACCATCAAACTTCCCCCCAAACCCAAACATTGCATGTCAGCGATTCAAACGAAGCTCGAAGCAGAAAAGGAAATAAACAAAGAAAACAAAACAAAAAATGAAATGAAAAAAACAATAAAAATAATTTTCTAAAAACAAACAACAACAACAAGAAAATATAGAAAAAAGAATAAAAGAAAACAACAACATCACAACTTCAATATTTTGACCCAGTTTTTTCCGTGTGTTGTCCCGCAAAAGCCAAACACCAACCCCTCTGGCTTTTGAAAGCACGTGCTTTGTGCTTCTTTCCCCAAAAACCTTAATTTTTTTCATATTTCCTTTTTTTTTTGCCGCCCCTCGTTAACCCCCCCAAACCGCCAAAATTGCTGTCCTACTGTGTTCCAGAATTATGGGGTACATAATGCGGCGCTTTCTGCGTACGGCTATGATCGTGTTCAGTTGGTTCGTTGTACCCTATAGCCGATTCACCAACATCAAAGTGAATCGGAAAAAGCTGCCGCCCATCAAATCGCATCTATTGGAAATACCCGCTGTCGATCTGGCGAAAATGATCAGAACGCGTAAGGTAAGTTCAAGGAAAATATATCACTAAGATATGATTGGGCAAAAATTATTCTCAGTGCTAGAAAGAAATTAGTTAGAAAGGGTTATGAAGAATATCTGTATACGAGCTAGGACCGGATTCTGGGATCTGGGACCGGATTCTTGTTTTATAAAAATGTGAAATGAATGAATGAAATGAAAAGGAAAAAAATATTAAACTTTAAATTTTTTATTTGATTTTTTTAATTCTTTTCACTTCAGAACAATATAACATTTAGCCAATTCGAACTCGGGTTACGAAGTCGGATCCTAAGAGTTGCAGTCGAGCAATTTTCTTGTAGCCTGGATATACATTTTTATTGTACCCTCTACCATCGTATGGAGTGTATATTAAGTTTCATTCATTCTGTATCTAAAAATAGGCAAAAAATTCTATTTCGATTTAGCGATGTTCCTCTGAGCCTCTGTGGAAATCATTCTAACTTCCGAAGAAAACTAAGTAGGTTGATAAAATGTTACTCAGAAGTGTTTTTTAAGTTTGAGGAATTTTGTTATTGATATTGGGCCATATAGATCCACGTTTTGGAATAGGTGCCATATAACTGTACAGAAAATTTTAAGGTTTTCTAGTTGTTTAAGTCACAAATTGGGAATATGGGATCCCATTCGGAATACTGTACAGTTATCCAAGGTTTGGTATAGAACCCATCTGACCGTACCATCAGATACTTGGCATGATTCGAGTTATAGTTTTCACCCGATTTTTTTTTTGTATCTGGGGTTCGCAATAGGTACTACCTCCTATGTAACAAAATTTTTCATATATAGGTCCACATCTCCATATAGCTCCCACAAAACTAACCTATAAACTGTACCTCCCTATATTTTGTATTTTGAGGATTTTTGCCATTTCAAAACTGGATTTCGAGTTCACAATATGTACTATTTTCTATGACATAATATTTCCTATACAGATCCTCGTTTTTAAATAGGCCATCATATAACAATACCTCCCAATATTCGGTATTTTGATGATTTGAACAGAATCATCACAAACTTGCTACTTGGAGTTCGTGATGGGCACCGCCTAGGCAAATAGAGTAGAGAGTATTAAAAGTTCGGACCCGCCTTAGCTGCTGTTTCACTTGGCATTTTTTTTTTTTTTTTAGAAAATTGTATACCCTTTCCCGAAAATGGCATAAAATATTTATTTGAGGTAATAGCAAGGTCCATATAATTTAATGTTTGAATATTCCTCTAATGGTCTATCCACTTAGTCCAATTTTGGCATACTCTTTCCAACATTTTGTTAATAAATGCTTCAATTTTGTCTCCCAATCAAACCTTCAATAAACTCGATCAATTTTGAACAAAGAGTGAAACTCACTCAAATTCGAGAGGAAGCACTAACTATTCGTTCAAAATCGGATGAACACACAACATATTCGACTCTTGAGTGCGCACGATTCTCGAAGGTAGTACCCAATTTGGCCTAAACTTGGTACACCACAATATTATTATCAAACTTAGAATGAGTTCGGAGATGGGCAAGATCGGTCCACTTTCTCTGGTACGTCCAACACAAAATGTCAACATTTTCAAAAAAAAAAAAAAAATAAATAAATAAATAAATAATAATAATAATAATAATCTGCACATATACAATATCGGTCCACTCCATCTAGTACCCCCTCCTCAAAAATAATTATAACTCTTATAAAATGTGATGTAAGAGTCCGATTGCCTTCAAATTACACACATCACAATATTTTTATTAACTCAAGGTCTAGTGTGAAGATGGAATATATCGGTCCACTCCTTCTGTTACCTCCCCCAAGATGACCAGATATCGGACCATTTCTTCTGGTACCTCCCCCACAAAGGGTCAACATTTTGAATAATCAAAACGATCATAAAACCGAAATAAACATCCGGCTATCTTCATATTTCATACATCCCATTATTTTTACTAACACAAAAATCTGCTGTGAAAATGGGATATATCGCTCCACTTCTTCTGGTACCTCCCGCTCACAGGATCAACATTTTAATAATATAAAATGCGAAATAAGCATCTGATTCTTTTCAAACGTGGCACATTGTAATATTTCCTCCAACACAAGGTCTAGTATGCAGATGGGAGACATTCGCCTACACCTTCTGGTACCTCCCCTGAAATAATCAAATTTTTGAATAACTAAAATGATCATAAAATGCGAACTGAGCTTATAATTCGCGTCAAATTTCATACGTCTCAATATTTTTATTAAGACACGATCTGAGGCGAAGACAGGATATATCTGTCCTCTCTTACCGGTACCTCCCCCACAACGGGTAAAAATTGAAAATAACCCAAACTCTTATAAAATGCGAAAAAAGCATCTGATTCTTTTCAAACGTGGCACATCGCTATATTTCCACCAACATATGATATAGTATGGAGATGAGATAAATCCGCCTACACCTTCTGGTACATCTCCCACAAAGAGTAAAAATTGTGAATATCAATTAAGCTCATAAAACGCGAAATTAACATCCGATTCCATTCAGACTTGGCACATCTCAATATTTTTTTTCAGCAAAAGGCCTGTTTTAAAGATGGTAGAAATCGGACCATTCCTTCTAGTAACTCCCCCAAATAGGGTTCAAGATTTAAAAAAAAAAAATAAACAAAACCCTCAAAGAATGCCTGATAAGTATCCAACTCTCTTCAAATGATATATGCCTGGCAGTATCGGTCTACTCCTTCTGGTACCTCCCCCACAAAATGTGGAAAAAATGTATTTTTTGCACAGAAAGAGAAGGGATAATCCGATTTTGCTCCAACTTTGCAAATCTTAATATATGCGTCAGTGCTAGGTCAAGTGTGAAAATGGACAATATCGGTCCACTCCAGCAAGTACCTCCCCCACAAATGGTCAAAATTTTAAATAATTACAACTCTCATAAAATGTGATGTAAGAGTCCGATTGTCTTCAAATTTCACCCATCCCAATCATTTTATTAGCCAAGGTCTGGTGTTAAGATGGAGTATATCGATCCTCTTCTTCTTCTGGTACCTCTCCCATAAATGGTCGAAATTTTAAAAATATATATTTTCTGCACAGAAAGGGAAGCAATAATCTAATTTGAAAAAAACATAACACTCAAAGAAAGCGAAATAAGCATCCAACTCTCTTCAAATTTCACACATACAATAATTTTTGCTAACACCAGATCTGTTGTGAAGATGCTATATATCTGCGAACACCTTCTGGTACCTCACCTACAAAGGGACACAATTATCTATATTTTTATCTATCATAAATTGCGAAGCAACTCAGCGATTCTTTACAATTGCTATATCCATCTGCTATAATTTATTTTTTTATATATTTAATTATTTTTATATATAATAATATTCATGTCATATTTATTTAGGTGGGATACGAAATGGACAATATTGACCGATTCTTTCAAAACCCACTCCGTAGAGGGTGAAGAGGGCTGAGGGTATACATCTGTCGGAAAAAACCGACCAATACTTTTTTACTTGTTATGTGTATCCTTAGAGTGAAGGCTGGCTAATGGTTCACCCTGTTATAAATTAACGAACAATGTTTTTAGAGATTTTTTTTTGAATCGATTGTACTTTTTTAGTTGTTCTCGGCTTCTTTTTACACTGCTTTGTTGTGACCTTAAACCCCTGATTTGCGTCAGAGGTGTCATTCCTGGAGGAGGTAATTTTAATATCAACTATTTCGCCTCGCTTGCATGTTTAAATCACGTTTTCCAAAACAATTTGCTCTAATTTGACATTTCTCAGAGGGCGAACAAAAAAAAACATTCATGCCAACAATTGCTAATAACAATACCTCCCATGCCTGCATAAATATGGATATAAATTTCTATTGGAAAACACGCATATCAATGTGTCTCCTCAATATTTTTAATTACAAAAAAAAAAAGGAAAAAAAAAACTGCAAGTCCGGCCGGGCTGAACTTTAAATAACCTCCAACATTTGGAACGAATTTTGCAATTTTCAAAAAAATAAAATTTCGTTAAAAATTCGGTTAAAATCTGAAAAATACCAAATGTAGCCGTCATATTAGGGTCTATACGACGACGTGGACCTGCATAGGCAACTTTTATGAATATGAAACTGCACAGACAATTTTCTGCCTTAGGCTGCAGTATCCATTTTGAACTTCAAATACCAAATTGAAACAATTCCGGTGTATAATATCGCTGAAATCATCAAAATACCGAATATCTGGAGGTACCGTTATATGGGGTTATACGAAGACGTGAACCTGCACAGACAATTTTCTGTCTTAGGCTGCAGTATCCATTACGAACTTCAAATACCAAATTTGTAACAATTCCGCTGCATAATGTCGCTAATATCATCGAAATACCGAATATGGAAAGGTACCACTATATGGGGGCTATAAGAAGACGTTGACCTGCACAGACAACTTTTTGTCTTAGGCTGTAGTATTCATTTCGAATTTTAAATACCAAATTTCAAACAATTCCGGTGCATAATGTCGCTAAAATCATCAAAATACCGAATATCGGGAGGTACCCTTATATGGGGGCTATACGAAGACGTGGACCTGTACAGACAATTTTCTGTCATAGGCAGAAGTACCTGTTACGAACTCCAAATATCAAATTTGAAACAAATCCGCTGAATAATGTCGCTAAAATCATCAAAATACCGAATATCGGAAGGTACCACTATATGGGGGCTATAAGAAGACGTTGACCTGCACAGACAATTTTTTGTCTTAGGCTGTTGTAGTCATTACGAACTACAAATACCAAATTCAATTTCAAATTTGAAATAATTCTGATGAATAATGTCGCTAATATCATCGAAATACTGAATATCGGGAGGTACCCTTATATGTGGGCCATACGAAGATGTGGACCTGCATAGACAATTTTCTGTCATAGACGGATACTTCTGCCTATGACAGAAATATCAAATTTGAAACAAATCCGGTGAATAATGTCGCTAAATCATCAAAATACCG